TTTTTTCTTTGTTTTCAGGATCATTTTTATAGTCAGTTTCTAGATATTACTGATTAGAGCATATACATTATTATTCAGTGATACTTCTGACCACTAGAACTCTGTTTAGCTTCCCACAGGAAGCTTTACAGAAATCTCAGTTTTCATATTGTTCGGAACAAGTAGTTTTCATTATGATAAATAATTAGTCGGCGATATATATCACCACAGGTGTTCCGGCAATAGATCTAACAGTTGTTGGAGCCACATTGGAATCAGACTCGAGATCTAATAGCTCTTAATTTTAAAGATGACAAACAGCTTTCCTCAAATAGCACAGATATTTCAAAGATAAACTGATATTTGCTACCCATCTAAGAAACCAGCCACAGACATCTGGACCAATATTCTCCACTGTTCCCAACTCAATCTAGGTGACCATCTCTGGTTTCCTAAACATGTCCATGTTTTCCTCGACCAACACCTTGAACAATAGCAGCTAAAATTAATTCTTAAGCTAGCACCAAATGACCTTTAACAGTCCAAGACCTCTAAATAGGCCCATTATTTCACTCTACCAGCACAAAGAATACACTAGACAATAAGAACCTGAGCAAAAATTGCAAAGGACATTTAAACAAAGTATGTCTAGAGGCACTTGAAGAAATTCAAACAGTTACTAAGAATATACTGCCAGTGTTCAAAGCAAGTCCTTGAGAGCAAAAAATGGTTCAATGATGAGACATAGAAGAGCTACTATTGATATGGCTTGAGGAAACTTCCAGGTTCTGCATAAGATCCTCAACATATTTTGTAATAACAAGTATAAGTAGTCAACAAAATAGATATACCTGTGATGTCTAAAAAAAATGAAGTCTCGCTGGTTATGGAATGTTACAACTCGACGACCACGAAAGTTGGGGTCTTGAGGGAATAGTGATTGTATCATCCTAAAAAGAGTCAAAATCAAATAATCAATAGAGGTAGCAGAAATATAAGTTTGATAAAGAAGGAAAAAAAACAAGAAGAGGAAAACAAATCCTTATACTATAAAAGGAGAAATGAGAGTATCATTTGACATCTTGAATTAAGTAAAACGTTAACCTTCCAACACGATGACCAAGACGTGTGGTGAAGTTGTTCAGTACTAACTCCGGCTTATGGTCTGTAGGATTTCCATGATTCTGGTTGCCAAAATAAATCCATAGTTAAAGGGATGTGTATGATGTATATGAAACTGAAAACCAATATTTTAAATGATGTAGCAAAACTGTTGAAAATGAATGTTTATAAAGCATTAAACTTCCAGATATTTATAAATTAGACATCTATACTGTAATGCTTGCACATATACTGATAAATTAATAAGAAATCAATTTATGGTATGGGCTACTCTGCACTAAAAGTCATTCGATTGAGAATATTTGTTAGAGCCTTCTGTGGATGCTTAGGGTTGGTAGGTGATCAAGACAATGAACAAGCTAGAGCATCAGCATGTCACAGATGCAGCAATCATCAAGACATTTTATAAGTATCACAAGGGCAAGAAATTCACAGATGCAACTTTCATATTATTGGTCCATACATAATATAAAATTGCCACAATTCAAATCGAAAAAAATTCATTCCTCCGACCGTCGTACTATAACAACTATATCAAAAGTACAACTTAGAGATGTGGCAATAGTCATATATTGTAACTGATTTGCAGTAAAATGCAGAACAAGAGCTATATTTCCAAATCGACATACATGAACAATGACAATGAGGAACAAGGTCAAGCAAAATTTACTATTATACTACTGATTTGCCTTACTTGAGAAGGCATTCTAGTAATGTTCTAGAATGATACTGCTAAGCAGCATATATCAACGAGGGATCCATGCCAAGCCAAAACAATGCAGGTAAGCCATCAGCATGGCATGAACCCCATTTTACGAACAGCTTGACTTGAAACTCAAATCAATATTCAGGAGATTTTTGAGACAGTTTAAGGATCTCCAAGGGGCTCAAAGGCACCATACTAGATCTAGTTTGTATTACTATTTGTTAAGTTTATTAATGAATTTTTTATTATTGCTTTATTCCAAAGGATCTTAAACTTTCTTTAATGCATTTTTAAATTTTTTGAACTACTATGCAGCTGGGATATTATGATACAAGTAATGCTTATCAGGTTCAGAAGCTAAGATTATGTGTGAAGCTATAAGGATGACGTTGTGGTTTATTTATCCTCTCCAAGACAGGTAATCATACAATATCATAACCTTCCGTAATTATTTAAGAAATAAAAAACTTAAATGATCTGTGAGTACTTGACAACATTGTACTCTATAAGTATACTAAACCAGGATGCATTTCTAAGATGTCCCCATGTTTCAAAAGCGCGAGTGAAAATATGAGTTCATATTGCCAGTGAAATAAACCATGCCAACTCGTACATACTATAGTTACTAAATGAATGTATGGAAGCAAGAAGAGAAACTCCAAAGTATGATGGAACTCAGCTATTTTTCATGCATTTTTCAAGTACAAGTGAATGTACCTTAATATCCTTCCGCAAGACTAATTTAGATAGTTTGAAATGTGCCGTAGGTCCATCAGGCAAGTTTATGATCAACAGAGCATCTAAAAAAACAGGTATTTAAAGACAGAATTACAGATGTAAAAACAAACAACAATCAATGACAAAACAAGAGTCACTATCTCCCCTGTTGCTTCTAACCTGGTTCCCTTCGATTTGAATGGACCACTACAACTGAAGTGAAGTCTTTGTTCTTTGCATATTCAACAATCTGCAATAAGAGAAACAATCATCATAATAAAGGCTCAGCAAAATAAGAAACCCGAATTTTGGTTCATCACAAATGCTTCACCTTCTTCAGTTCATAGGTTCCTCTCTTATGGTAATGAGCATTTGGAATCACAGACAATAACTCTTGAATGAAGGCAGGACCTCTCTGCATGCATTTTCAAAAAGGTAAGAATTCAGTGGTGGCATTAGTTCCTAGTAAATATGGATTCCACGAATCCTAAAAAATATTTAAAGATAGGGCAAGAAGGACACACAAATAAACAACGAAAGTAAAGGTAAAAGTGATGGAAAGACGAACACTAAAAACGTACTGTGGAATTGAAACGATTTGTGGTGATTAATATCTTTGGCGTCACTTCTTGTTTCAGGACTTGGCTAAATTCATCGGCATCATTCCCTGCAAATAACTGGACTAGCCATTATCAGGAATAACTGACCAACATCTAGTAGAAAGCAAGAGAAGAACACAGAAACTGAACAGCATGCTCACCTCTTCATCATCAGGTCGACAGACCGTCTCATCGACCTCCCTGGTGTTCTCGATCGTCCGCGGCACCTTCTTCTCCGGAGGCTATGCATCAAGAAACAAGATTGATAACCCGAAAAGCGAAAGCCAAGCAAAAGGTGGAGATCAAAGGGGAAAGAACTTGCCTCCTCGCCGAGGTCGAGGGCTCGCTTGATGGCGGCCTCTCGTGCCTTGGCCTGCTTCCGCTTCTCGATCTTCTTCTCGCGCTTGAGCTTGGCATGGACGGCACTCCTCTTCTCCTTGTTCTTGATCATCGAGGGAAGAGTCGTCCCCTTCTTCTTCTTATCCCGTGTTTCCTGCTCGTCCACGTCACACCCTTCCGCCTTCTCCCTCTTCCCCCCGCCGCCGCCCATCCTTGTACTTCAAAGGAGAAGAATCGAAGGAGACGCACACGTGAGGTGGCAGCGTAATATAATAAAAAGAAAACGGACCATCATTAAGATTCTCAAAATGAAACGTGGATCAGCAAAACGTTTCTCCTTTTGCTCAAGGTTCTTCCAAACAGAACAGAAGTCGAACACATAGTAGGCATCAACTACATCCTCCCTCTTTCGGCAGCAACGCAAACGGGACGCGCAGCAAAAGGAGCGGAAGAAGATGGAAGAGGAGGAGGACGAACAAAACAATACTTCTCTTGACGGTCGCTTGCTTCGTTCGCGGATGAGATGGAAACCTATCGACGCCTCAACGGCGTTTGGGCGAAGCGGAGTCGGGGAGTCGACACGGTATGAGATCGAGACAAAGCCGAACTCCCGGTTCGGTTATTAAAGTATAGCTCACATCCGAACCGAGCCGAAGTCACCTTCCTCATGAACCGGACCACTTTCGACCAAAAGCCGGCTGAGTTCGTCGTCGATTTCGTAATCAAATTGTATATAGAGTAAACCACCACGAGAGAGTAAGTATGCTTCTACCAAGTTTGCAACTCTTGTCAAGTTCCATTCGTCATCTTGCTCGGGTCGGGAAGACGATGGAAATGTGAATTGTGGGTCCTCATATATCCCAATGGCAACAGGAATCTCAGCGGCAGCTGCAGTGTCATGTTCCAGCCTGAACTCCTCCATGAGGAGGAAGCCCGGTGTGACCCACATTCACGGCCTGAACTCCTTTAAAGGGCTAAAAGGCAGCAACAGGGTGTCTGTCGTTCCTCGGCCTCCGCCGTGCACCGCCCGATCCTTCGCCGCGGTTCTGCCGCCGGGACTGCTTTCTTTTGGGGAGTACTTCTAGAGGCATCGAGTTAGAGTACAAGGAAACATGCATGACATGCCAGTATAGTTATCAGAATCGGACCAGAGCCAAGCCGGATGTCACCAATTGATTTGCTGGACCACTGATTCAAGCCAATGCGTATACATCGACTTGGAAATAATATGGAAACAGAAACACAACAAGTAGAACTGAGACAATTACTTTTATCTTATTTTCTTAAATTCCTTTAGAAACTGTCAAGACAATAGTCTACTCATTCAGATCATCAACAATATGTGGATGTACAAGTGATTGAGAGAGGTGACATGGTGATGAGCTCACAAACAACCAGATGCAGTCTCTTTACTTGTATGGATAAGATTGTATACATTGATGTTTTCCTAACTTCTCAGTCCAACACAATGCTCTATGTGACACCAAAACTTAGATTGAATGATAAGCAGATTCAATTCTCAAGATGTTTTCCAAGAAGGTTCTCCCAATTTTGTTCTCGCATGCCAAAAAAAAAAGGAAAAACCTCCAACTTTGGAATGTTTGGTATATGTTCTTGTTAGGTATCTGCCTTCTTCCGCTTGTGAAGAACAGAGTCCGATCATTTATTTAACCATTCTCCTTTTTTATTTTTTAGTGTTTGATGTTGATGATGTGCTTTTGATTATCGGATTGACGAAATAATAGGAAATTATCAATCAATCATCATTCGATACAGATTGACAGCTTTAAAATATTATTTTCGTCATTTATAGTCTAGGTGGATAAAAAATCAAAACAAAATTATTAGAAGCGATTAAGAATATATCGTTCATTTTTAATATAATAAATGAATCACTATTTTTTACCATTGATTTTGAAAACATTAGAATAAATAAATGTTTATGTAATTTGATCCAGATATCTTTTTTTAATCAATTTATTCCTTAAAAAGCCTGTCTATTCAATCATTGACATACAGAAATTAAGTGCATCCATGGATTAGATCTTAGAGTATGAATACTGATGTTGCATCCAAGGGGATCATCATCTCCTCTTAATTAAAAAACAGCAATCTCTGTAGGAAAAAAATTGTTTTAATTTGTTGTTTAATAAAAATAAATGCAACCTGTATATGACTGCCATTTACGCATTAAACTGCAGAAAGTGGCCATGCGGGATGACACAGTGCCCTCTTGCTTGTAATAACATGTCCCATGGAAAAGCATATCAATAAAGCATTTAAAAATGGTATTAAAACATACATATAACATCAACAATTTCGTTCATATCTGATTGCAGAATACATATCCTTTTAGTTCAGTTTGACATTCTCCTACGACTCCCAAGCGGGTCTTTGCTCTAAAGCCGATTAAGAGAGAGGTCATCTCCTTCCCTTCCAGCAAAGGGACAGCCACTCTTTATCAGAGAGGCTTTTGACCAATCTTAACCAAATGCTCTACGAAACAAAAGGCCCAGAAACCATTGTAATTGGACTGCAAGCTAATTAACTTATTTCTTGATGCAGAGAAATCCTGCCCACACTTGATCGAACCCTCCACATACAGTGGGGAAAGAAACGACTACAATTAAAATCAATAACAAATGTGGTTTGGCATGTTTGTAGAAGAGTTCCCATAATAAAATGGGAGGTCTTCTTCTGAAGCAAAATCTCTGGCTTACAAGAAAAACCTCCTGCGGCTCGTGTCCATCTCCGGCTAGAATCAAATGCAACGCATGGTAAATTTGATGGAAAAAAGCAAATCCGAGAACATGGTAAATTCTATACCAAGATCACAAAAGAGTACCTTGTGAACGCACTCATACTCTCCACCCTTTGAATCAAATGTTCCATGTTGCAAGTTCCTCAATTTAAGTGTAAAGCGAGGGCCACACTCCTGCATTTTCAAAAAGAATAAAATGTGAACAAAATGTCATGGCCAATACATGACAAAATACCATGTCAGATTGTCAAATCAAATAATCCATGTCCCAGGTCACAATTCAACAGCTGTTGAGTGTGGTCAGATAACTAAGCAGTAAAGTTTACAGGAATACTCTAGGTACAGAGAAATTGTGTTGCTAGTGTAACAAAAAGGGGAATACAGATCAGACCATAACATAAAACAGTCTTCAAACATTTAAAAATTGGGTGAGAAAGCATCATGGTGTGTGTCTGGTCCAAGTAATAAATATTGTATAGCATATCATCAAATGACAAAGTGCCACACTCATGTTAAACAGTACCTGAAGGCGTACAATCACTTTCTCTTGAGTTATATTCTTGCTCTTGGCAGCCTTGTCCTTGGAGTCATCTTTTTTCTCTCTGGATTCAAATATATACCTAATAATTGCAGAGAAAATGAGACATAATTCCAGATGGCATAAATAATTAAAGGGTTTTCGTACAAGTCTACCCAAACAAAAGAAGAAACACTTAGTATAGGTTGAGATCGGTTTATGGTACCAACATTAAGTATGTGCCTGTGTAAAGAACCTTAAAAAACATAATGGAAAAAAAAGAAGAGAATCTCAACTTTTAAAAGACTATTTAGCATTCCTCCTTGATGTTCATTTGACTAGTAGAATTCACATCGCACAGCTGAACAAACTAGAGACAAAATTCTACAGGAGGGAGGATCTCCCATCCAAGAAGAACATTCATGATAAGATGAAGCCCTTATCTTCTCCAATATTAGAAGTGTTTCATCCTACTTCGGAGCCATCTTTACACAATGTTATACAATTTGTTACATCCATAATTCCATCAGCAATTTCAACATCTACAATTTTTTATTTCAGTTTCTATGAAACTCGGGAAAACCACAATGGTTACTACTTTTTTCTTTGTTTTCAGGATCATTTTTATAGTCAGTTTCTAGATATTACTGATTAGACCATATACATCATAATTCAGTGATACTTCTGACCAGTAGAACTCTGTTTACCTTCCCACAGGAAGCTTTACAGAAATCTCAGTTTTCATATTGTTCGGAAAAAGTAGTTTTCATTACGATAAATAATTAGTCGGCGATATATATCACCACAGGTGTTCCGGCAATAGATGTAACAGTTGTTGGACCCACATTGGAATCAGATTCGAGATCTAATTGCTCTTAATTTTAAAGATGACAAACAGCTTTCCTCAAATAGCACAGATATTTCAAAGACATACTGATATTTGCTACCCATCTAAGAGATCAGCCACAGACGTCTGGACCAATATTCTCCACTGTTTCCAACTCAATCTAGGTGACCATCTATGGTTTCCTAAACATGTACATGTTTTCCTCGACCAACACCTTGAACAATAGCAGCTCAAATTAATTCTTAAGCTAGAACCAAATGACCTTTAACAGTCCAAGACCTCTAAATAGGCCCATTATTTCACTCTACCAGCACAAAGAATACACTATACAACAATGACTTGAGCAAAAATTGCAAAGGACATTTAAACAAAGTATGTCTAGAGGCACTTGAAGAAATTCAAACAGTTACTAAGAATATACTGCCAGTGTTCAAAGCAAGTCCTTGAAAGCAAAAAAAAGGTTCAATGATGAGACATAGAAGAGCTACTATTGGTATGGCTTGAGAAAGATTCCAGGTTCTGCATAAGATCCTCAACATATTTTGTAAGAACAAATATAAGTAGTCAACAAAATAGATATACCTGTGATGTCTAAAAAAAATGAAGTCTCGCTGGTTATGGAATGTTACAACTCGACGACCACGAAAGTTGGGGTCTTGAGGGAATAGTGACTGTATCATCCTAAAAAGAGTCAAATTCAAATAATCAATAGAGGTAGCAGAAATATAAGTTTGTAAAGAAGGGAAAAAACAAGAAGAGGAAAACAAATCCTTATACTATAGAAGGAGAAATGAGAGTATCATTTGACATCTTGAATTAAGTAAAACTTTAACCTTCCAACACGATGACCAAGACGTGTGGTGAAGTTGTTCAGTACTAACTCCGGCTTATGGTCTGTAGGATTGCCATGATTCTGGTTGCCAAAATAAACCCATAGTTAAAGGGATGTGTATGATGTATATGAAACTAAAAACCAATAGTTTAAATGATGTAGCCAAACAGTTGAAAATGAATGTTTATAAAGCATTAAACGTCCAGATAGTTATAAATTAGACATCTATAATGTAATGCTTGCACATATACTGATAAATTAATAAGAAATCAATTTATGGTATGGGCTAATCTGCACTAAAAGTCATTCGATTGAGAATATTTGTTAGAGCCTTCTGTGGATGCTTAGGGTTCGTAGGTGATCGAGACAATGAACAAGGTAGAGCATCAGCATGTCACAGATGCAGCAATCATCAAGACATTTTATAAGTATCACAAGGGCAAGAAAATCACAGATGCAACTTTCATATTATTGGTCCATACATAATATAAAATTGCGACAATTCAAATCGACAAAAATTCATTCCTCCGACCGTAGTACTATAACAAATATATCAAAAGTACAACTTAAAGATGTGGCAATAGTCATATATTGTAACTGATTTGCAGTAAAATGCAGAACAAGAGCTATATTTCCAAATTGACATACATGAACAATGACAATGAGGAACAAGGTCAAGCAAAATTTACTATTATACTACTGATTTGCCTTGCTTGAGAAGGCATTCTAGTAATGTCCTAGAATGATACTGCTAAGCAGCATATATCAACCAGGGATCCATGCCAAGCCAAAACAATGCAGGTACGCCATCAGCATGGCATGAACCCCATTTTACGAACAGTATGACTTGAAACTCAAATCAATATTCAGGAGATTTTTGAGACAGTTTAAGGATCTCCAAGGGGCTCAAAGGCACCATACTAGATCTAATTTGGATTACTATTTATTAAGTTTATTAATGAATTTTTTATTATTGCTTTATTCCAAAGGATATTAAACCCTTTTTTTAATGTATTTTTCAATTTTTTGAACTACTATGCAGCTGGGATATTATGATACAAGTAATGCTTATCAGGTTCAGAAGCTAAGATTATGTGTGAAGCTATAAGGATGACGTTGTGGTTTATTTATCCTCTCCAAGACAGGCAATCATACAATATCATAAACTTCGGTAATTATTTAAGAAATATAAAATTTAAATGATCTGTGAATACTTGACAACATTGTGCTCTATAAGTATAATAATCCAGGATGCATTTCTAAGATGTCCCCATGTTTCAAAAGCGCAAGTAAAAATTTGAGTTCATATTGCCAGTGAAATAAACCATGTCAACTCGTACATACTCTAGTTACTAAATGAATGTATGGAAGCAAGAAGAGAAACTCCAAAGTATGATGGAACTCAGCTATTTTTCATGCATTTTTCAAGTGCAAGTGAATGTACCTTAATATCCTTCCGCAAGACTAATTTAGATAGTTTGAAATGTGCCGTAGGTCCATCAGGCAAGTTTATGATCAACAGAGCATCTAAAAAAATAGGTATTTAAAGACAGAATTACATATGTAAAAACAAACAACAATCAATGACAAAACAAGAGTCACTATCTCCCCTGTTGCTTCTAACCTGGTTCCCTCCGATTTGAATGGACCACCATAACTGAAGTGAAGTCTTTGTTCTTTGCATATTCAACAATCTGCAATAAGGGAAACAATCATCATAATAAAAGCTCAGCAAAATAAGAAACCATAATTTTGGTTCATCACAAATGCTTCACCTTCTTCAGTTCATAGGTTCCTCTCTTATGGTAATGAGCATTTGGAATCACAGACAATAACTCTTGAATGAAGGCAGGACCTCTCTGCATGCATTTTAAAAAAAGTAAGAATTCAGTGGTGGCCTTAGTTCCTAGTAAATATGGATTCCACGAATCCTAAAAAATATTTAAAGATAGGGCAAGAAGGACACACAATAAACAACGAAAGAAAATGTAAAAGTGATGGAAAGACGAACACTAAAAACGTACTGTGGAATTGAAACGATTTGTGGTGATTAATATCTTTGGCGTCACTTCTTGTTTCAGGACTTGGCTAAATTCATCGGCATCATTCCCTGCAAATAACTGGACTAGCCATTATCAGGAATAACTGACCAACATCTAGTAGAAAGCAAGAGAAGAAAACAGAAACTGAACAGCACGCTCACCTCTTCATCATCAGGTCGACAGACAGTCTCATCGACCTCCCTGGTGTTCTCGATCGTCCGCGGCACCTTCTTCTCCGGAGGCTATGTATCATGAAATATGATTCATAACCCGAAAAGCGAAAGCCAAGCAAAAGGTGGAGATCAAGGGGGAAAGAACTTGCCTCCTCGCCGAGGTCGAGGGCTCGCTTGATGGCAGCGTCTCGTTCCTTGGCCTGCTTCCGCTTCTCGATCTTCTTCTCACGCTTGAGCTTGGCATGGACGGCACTCCTCTTCTCCTTGTTCTTGATCATCGAGGGAAGCGTCGTCCCCTTCTTCGTCTTCTTCTTATCCCGTGTTTCATGCTCGTCTACGTCACTCCCTTCCGCCTTCTCCCTCTTCCCCCCACCGCCGCCCATCTTTAGAAGAAACGAAGGAGATGCACACGCGCGGCAGCAGCGAAGAGGACCGGAAGAGGAGGAGGGGGGTGCACACACGCGGAGAGAAGAGGAGAGGGTGCACACGTGCGGCGGCAGGGAGGAGAACCGGAAGAACGCCCGGCGGCAGGGAAGAGGACCGGAAGAGGAGGGGGTGCACACGCGCGGCGGTAGCGGAGAGCACCGGAAGAGATGGGGTATAGGGTTTTGATGATAGCGGTAAGGGTTTCCTTAAGCAAGGACCGGATCTAGAATCCGGATCACGGTTCGGTCGAATCAAATTTATAATAACGGGCCATTCGGCCCGAAGCCCATTAAAATGCTGTAGTTTCCGTCGACGGATCGTTGGCGGCCCGTGAAGAGGATCTATCCTCCGTCAGTAACAGTGTATTGGAAATCATCAGTCGATGGGAGGAAAACAATGATGTCCTTGATCTTAATTTGACTCAAGTACTTGCAGAACTATTGTTTTAACAGACTGTTCATTCTTATATCTTTACTTAATGACTGATGAGCAATTAAATTCATAAAAATAAGTTATATCATCTTAATTCCGATCACATGCAAGGTCTTATTGCCTCTCAAAACTGGATTTTAGGCCACAAATCATTCCAAATTCGATATTATTTGGATTTATATTAAAGTTAATTATAATTTCAGATTAATACACAAAACTTGAGCAGCATAAAATATCCAAAAATAAGTAAAAAAAATCTCATCTTCCTCCTCTATCCTGAGATTCTATTTAATTGAATAAGATATATTAAAGTTAGGATTAGATTTGGTTATCGATTAATAAAAGGAAGTTCATTTATGATATGATTATTTAAGTGATATATTGATCGGAGGGACTTTCCAAATTACTTATCATAGATTCTCTATTCTCCCTTATAAATAATCAAGATATCAATGAGATTCAATATGATATTATTATATGATACAATACGAAGTAATATTACAAATATATTATCAACTTCCTTCGATTATTATTCTATCGTTCATAGTAGCCTTATGAAAGATAGAAAAAGAGAAGTTAACTTATGAAAGATAGAAAAAGAGAAGTTAACGAGTATGACTATTTTTCATATATCGATGATGTTATGTTCTATGAATCAAATTATAAAGTGCATTCTATAAATTAAACAAATAAATGTACTTTGAATAGCAACGAAATATATGCACCTCTATTTTTTGATCTCTACATATTTGATTTCATATTAAATTTACTTAGTATAATAGTATAATTATAATTCTATGATTATAATTAGTATCAGCATCCTTTGTTTTGTGCTATCGATATATTTTTCTACCTTATATGTTCTATCATTGATATCATAGGATAGGACATTATAGAGAGTTGTGGGTGGTAATGTGGATCGTTGTTGACGATATCACAAGGAGTCGCAATCGTAGAACCTCAATTGCTAGCATTATGGTTTTTCAATGGTCAAGAATGATGGTAGAGTCATGGCAATGTGTGTTGCATGCTAATCATAGGTATCATACAAGCAAATCATGTGAGTAATATCACGTGTAACATAACACGCAGTCTTTTTGCTCATTATTATTATGGTATTTTCTCACTTTACATTGCTTGATGCATAAGTATATTATGATATCCATGGATCTGTATAATGAGAATCGGATCGTGATGAGATCACGATAATGAGATCAATTCACATTTAAACATAGAACCTAAATAATCTTAGTCATGTGTTACTCGAGAGACACATCGAGATAATCAGACATACTTGTGTGCCATATTTTTGTCCATATGATAGAAGCGGCTGATCTCATAGCTGCTCGTATGGGGACACTAGAGATACAATACAGGTGCTCATTGTGGAATGAGTTCACTAATTAATCCGCTTACGGAATGTTGAATGGTTGATAATGCCTTATTACCAGTTAGTGGTTCCGTAGTCCTAATGGTGTATCTAGTACTTAGACTTAAGATACTAAGGATGTCCTATATGAGTGCTCCACTCTTTGATATCAGATTTATAGGTTTGGATGTCTCAAATCTAACACAATCGATCATCGAGAGTGGTAGTCGACTTTACAAGGGCTCTTGAGTATCGATAAAGGATCATCCACTCTTGGTGTCATGAGAGGAATATCTCATATATTCTTACTCAAATAAATCCTTGACTATGGTCATTCGGATTAAGAAAAAAAGAGTTCTCTGGGAGAATCCGATTAAAGCGAGACTCGAGTAAAAATTGTATGGGTTTGACAGCACCATACCCGGTATATGGTCTTTGGGATATTAGATGGATGATTGACTATAGGTACATAGTAACTGAGGACAAACATGTCCAATGGATTGGATTCCCCTGTATCATCTAGGGACTGCGGCGTAGTGGCCTAGAACGTCCGCAGTCGATGAGTCGAGTGAATTATTATAGAGATAATAATTTACTGAGTCAGAATGAGTTCTGACATGTATAACTCATGACCAACTCAATATTAGGCCTAGAGGGTCACACACATATGGTAAGCATCGCAATTAGTAGAAGTTCAGATATGATATATCCGTCGGAGCCCCTATCTTATTAGATATCTAATAAGCTCATGAATTATTTGATCATATGGATAAGATCCGATAAGAGTCCATGAGAGATTATTGGACAGAGATCCACTAATCTAAGAGGCTTTGGTAGTTGGATGAAGATTCAATACTCAATAGGGGAGGATCTATTAGGTAACATAATCATCTCACACGTGATTTTATATTTCACGAATTTTGTGCATCGATCTTCGCATAACAACGAATATATATTTAGGAATTAGGGATTTTATTTTTTATTCTTCCACTGTGCATGTGATATCACCCTCAAGAATTCCCAACATTTTCATCAAACAAGAATTTTCAAACCGATAAATTTTTACGTAAGTATTAATTCACCCCCTCTTTTAGTATCATCACGGTTCTAGCAGATTTCAGTGATATATGATCTCTCTAGGTAACACTATCTTTCATATATGCAATTTTCAGTTTTGTGAGTTTTTGCACACCAATCTTTTCACACGATTATAAACACATTTTTGGGAAATTTGAGGTTTTTATTTTCTATTCTTCTACTACGCATGTGATGTTGCCTCTAGATTTTCCTATACTACGATGAGGAGTTGTATTATTATGGGTAGTGATGGACGTGTGACAATCCTATCAAGGGCGTCAGTCACTTTGATGGAAGTGTTATGTTTTCTATTTTTCATACGACGATAAACACTTTTTTGAGAAATTTGAAGTTTTTATTTTCTATTCTTCCACTACGCATGTAATGTTGTCTCTAGATTTCCGTACACTACAACAACGAGGAGTTATATTATTATGGATAGTTAAGAGCAATGATAGCTAGGCATGATGGCAGCACTTTTTTATATTGCCATTAATATTTAGCCGTTGTTTGGTCACTTTGGTAGGCTGCGGTGACTACAGTTGGAGAAAGGGTGAGACATTAGGGTTTTAGAGCTTCCATCCTAGCGAAGGTCAATTTTATTTTTATAAAAGCTATTAATTCCAATATCGCTTGATGATTTTTTAGCCTTCAAAAATTAGATATATGTCCCAATAAAATTATAATTTTATTCTTTAAAAATCAACTATTTTTTACTAGAGTTATAAAATTTCTATTTTACCCTCGTGAAATGATTATTTTCATTGATATCCTCTATTTATAATTTTATCCCTTTTAATTTGTTAATATTATCTCACCAATCATAATTCAATAATAATAAAATTATATCATAAAACCTGATAATTTTTTTATTAGAATTAAATAAAAAAATAAATTATAGGTATTTTATTTTTATCCACGTGACATAATTTATGATTGTTATGTTTGATTATCTATATTATTAAATAAATTAATTATTATTTTAGATATTACAGTTATTTTAGATATTTTAATTATTAAAATGAAAGTATATTTATGGTAAGATTTTATTAATTACCAATGAGAGACTTTCCTAATTATTTATTCTACACATTTTACTCTCATCTATAAATAAATAAGACCATCTAGATGCGATAACATACGATACATGAGCCTATAGATGTATTATGGTTTCATTGTAGTCTTTATTTCATCACTTATAGTGATTTTATGAAAAAATAAATATTATTATATTTTTGTTGCAGATTGATGTTGTTATATTCTACGAATCAAATAAAGGTATTCAGAATGACATCAAGAGGTATGTATATCTTATCTTTAATCTATACATATTTGATTTATATTAAATTTATTTCGCTCCATGACATGATTATATGATTTTGATGCTTACCACAGACCTCTCGCCGATGAAACTACATAGAAGAAGTGCTGCTTTCGTTCTCACAATAGTCTTGATGGCTTTGGCCATCTCTGTTGCTGCTGCTGCAGCCGATAAAGAAGGTGTGCAGCGACGTCCGATGGTGGTTCCGGTGACGTGCAAGTACTATCCCGAAGTGTGCCTGCCCGACGAAACCTGCTGCAACTTTAGAAAGTGCGCCAACTTGAAGAAAGACCCCGACAACTGTGGTCGTTGCAATCACCGGTGCCCGGGCGCCTGCTGCGACGGCGTCTGCAAGGCAAGTTGCTGATGAGTGTTGTCGTCTTCGTCGTGCAACTTAGATGCATGCAAACATGTCTTCGCTTCTTTGTCCCATGAGTTACACTTCGTCTCATCGTCTGGTGGTTAAGAATAATTGTTGCTTCTTTGTTGCACAAAGGTTTGTTTTCGCAATCCATGTTGTTTATAGAGGACATGATCGGAAGAAAGATGACTGCAGTTCATAGAGGCAGCAGTGACCCTCGCCATCCTTGCCCGCGATCCTCGCACGAGGAAAGAGGGGGCATGAGGGCTGTCGCTGTCGGCTCCATTGCTTCCTTCTTTGTCGCGCGAGAGCGACTCCAACGAGGGTCGATGGTGCCTGTGAAGGTGACGTTAGATTCGACATGACCGAGGGGAAGAGAGGCGGAGATAGAATTGGACGGAATTCACACACACAAACATATATATATATATCACCGTATTTATATTTTATAACGAGTATAATCCCTCCGCTTTAAGAAATCCCTTCTCATACGTAACACCGCACGCTCCTGTCACGTGATCTGGCGCAATCACCTCGGGTGCCCTTGCCGGAACCGGTCGCTCCAGGGTTTGGTTGATGGCCCTCGAGGACGGTAGCGGGTTGACGGTGACCGGAGAAGGTTTTGGAGTCTCGGCACAGACGGTGGCGCCCATTGGTGCCCACCCGCCCGAGGCTGCTGATGGGTTTCCAATGAGTCTCTCCGAGCACTAGAGTAACTGCTCCTCTCTTGTTCTTTTCTTGTGGTATGTAAGCATATGAAATTGGGTATAATTGGTTGGAACTGTTTGGCGACGATTTATTGGGTAACTTATTTCAATAATTGCAGTTCAAATCCGTATATTGGCTTGCAATCATGTAAATATCATGACCTTGATATGAAGTTTTGCATTTGGAAACTCTGGAACACAGAACTGTTAAGATTTCACTTTCCTGGAATCACTAACATGAGAACTTTTCAACCCAAGAGACATAGTTTCGGGCAATTTGTAGAAGAAAGCAATTTTCACAGATACGCTTGTCTCTGTTTGTTGAATGTTGGAAGCATTTTTCTTATAGCTAAAACTCTTACCTTTGCAAGCTCCAAGAAGGATTTGAAGTGGTATGGCACTGATTAGTATTTAAAAAAGGCTTTATGTAGATTTTATGGTTTGATCCTGTTTATCAAACGTTTGGCCAATTTCATCCATCATTCAGTGGTTGTAACTTTTGTTAGTCTCTGAAGTTTCAGCAGTGTCAGACTGGTTGTAAATTAATTTTGTGGTTTGGACTGGAATTGAACAGTTACTATTCTAATTGATCACTTCAAGGTTGATTTTATTCATAATGTCACTGTGAAACATGTTTGTCTCCTTGGGCATATATGAAATCAAAAAGGTGATGCTTATAATATGTGTAAGAGACCCATAGTTGTTGTAGTTAGAAGAGATGAGACTGGTAGTAATAGTGGCATGACCAGAGGTAGACAGATGTCTAAGAATGCTGATGTGAAGAGTTCAATGGTGACAAAAGATTCATATTTCCAACACCATATAACTGGTAGACTATGACCTGTTATTGTTGTTCATATGAGGAACAAGACTTACCATTCTATTGATGTCCAGTCTTTAAGACGTTTCAATGTTTTGAATGTTGCAATTTCTTTGATGGAGTATTATGATCCATTAACTATTTAATTTCTGAAGCCTCTTCTGAAAAATAAAGAACATGTTTTTTCGATAGGTTGTAGAATGTAGACAAGTACTTAAATGAACGCCAACTACTTGTACAACTTTTTATTATTATTTTTTACATTTTGCATGATTTTGGTCCAAAATCACTGAGCTGATGGATATTAATATTCTCGAATGAGTATACTGTTAGTGTTGTATAAACATTTTTATCTAGCTAAGTCTAATACTTCTAATATCTCTTAAAGTTCTTTCACACTGTTGTGACTGAATATCAAAAGTTTGATTGGAGATCGTTGATGCCCTTAAATGGGTGAATCCATTGAAGCCCTTCTGATGCGGGACCTTATAGTATGTAGCTTTACGGCCCTTACCCCATGAGTCACATCCTGATCATCTAGGTTGTAAAGAAATAATCTTACCGTTGACTCTCAATGAGTTTGGGCTAAAATATACTGAAACATATACTTCAAATGATTGGCACAGTACTCTAGTCATGCTATGTAGTCTAAACACACATCTCATATGGCCTGGAGAAGCCATGACACACCTGCTGCTCTAGCACATAATAATGCCATATGACTACTTTGCTAGCCTGTGTCCAGGTTGAGCTCAACACATGGTAAAACAATTGAAAATTAATGAGGATTCTAGATTAGCATGGTTTTGATGTGGCTGTCTGTAGTCTTATGTTCAAAATACCAAAGCAGGAAAGTTGGGTGCTGTTGGATAGGAATATGCTAATTCATATCAGAAGATATTGCCAAAATTATGTATCTACACTTGCTGATGATTCCTTGTGAATTTTTTAGTAATAATTTTTTGTTGATCTTTTATTACTAATAGCTTATGATGGTTATGAAAATAAATGGACATCTGGACTAATTATGAGCCCCAGGATGCATGCACTGAGTGCTATCAAGAGGAATAGGAAACTCTATATGGGGAAACCAAGACAGAAATAAGGAATCTGATGGAATTAGTGAGGAAAGCTTTTCTAAAGCCAATCAAATTATATCATGCTTAGTTTATAGTTTTTCCGTGAATTCAACTGTGTACACGTTTTTATATAAGTGTGAATCATCAAGGAAAGGTTCTTTAAAGCAAAACAAATATATTCTGTGAATCACTCAGTTTATTCTTTATTCCTTGCAGGTCACCTTTCTATGAGAGTGAGAGAGAGAGAGTACTCTCTGTGAGGAATAATACATTGCCTTTGATGTGAATGCAATTTAGTAGGCAAACTCTCCATCCCAACTGGCCATGATAATCCATGACTCAGAAAGTAATTGCAAAAGGAATCCCATGTTTCCAGTTCTAGATGTGTGTCTTGTGAATCTTTTGGCAGTCCATTGAGAGGCCTAACTTTCCTCTATTACTTGAACAAAAATGTTATCCTCCAACACAATGCAACTGTCATATTAGTATACTTAAACCTTCTACCTCCTTTGTGTTCCCTTATAAGTACCTCCCAACCCTCCATAAGCTCTCCTCATCCCTGCAATCTTTCTGTTGCAACAACACTTAAGAAGAGCTTCCTTGCACACGATGAGGTCATTCCTTCTGATAATATTCTTGATGGCTTTAACCACTTCTCTTGCCGCAGCAGATACTCACAAAGGCGAGCAGGATCAGACGACTTCATTCTCCGACGAAGCTAGTCGCATGCTGGGTCGGCACAGATGGAGAGGTTCCTTGTCGTGCAAGGAGCACCGAAACCTGTGCAAACTCCCAAGAAGTCCCGGCCCGACCTGCTGCGGGAATCTTTGCGTGGACCTGAAGACTGACTTGTTCAATTGTGGCCGCTGCGGGGTGCAGTGCAAGTTTGCCGAGGTTTGCTGCAAAGGTAAATGCCTGAATCCGTTTCACAACGATGAGAACTGCGGCGGGTGTGGCAAGAAGTGCAGCAAGGGAAGCCATTGCAGATATGGGATGTGCAGCTATGCGTAGAAGCCGGCTGATGAGTGTTGGGTTTGATCATTGAACTGTGTTGTTGCTGTTGCTTGTGGCTGAAGCCCTGGTTTAATAATGTTCACCACGTCCTTAGTTGTATTCATTGCGAAGATAAATATCAAGGAACATCTGCATTGTTGTGTCCATGAACAACATTAGTTTGCTCTCAGTGATAGAACATTGACCAGAAAGATCTGCAATCTTTGTTGTTAACAGAATATGTCTACAACAACAACAACAACATTCTCTTTTATGATTTGTTTCCAGAGCAAGAATAATGGCAAGAGAGATCAATAATATTGAATTAGAACATGGTAAATGTGTTTGAAAATAGTGAAACTGAATGCAATTGCCCTTTACACTAATGTTGGTACATTGAAACTAGAAGAGCAAAAATATTGTGATGCTAATCCTGTTACCATAATAAATTAAATTTAAATCACTCTCTAATTATTATGAAAGATTTATTAAAATAGATATTATCTAACTATAAGTGTGTTTGGTCATATTAACATTATTCATTAATTTCTTTCCCTAATTAAAGTTTTGAACAAGCACAAAGCATAATTTCCATACCCTCCCTGGTGCCCACATTAAGGGCCATCACAGATTCAATAAGAATTTATGAGAGGGATTTCGATGCATGTAATTGTACTGTGGTTGACACCAGCTTTATTCATTGGAAATAGAACTGAAAATTCATTCTTTTAATATGAATGCCTAAGTCATCTTACACGATTGACGTGATAATTCTGGGATCGGAATTAAGATTCACAATAAATAATGTCTTTTATTAATATTTTTATTTTGTTTTTACTCAATGTCATTATATTTCATGCTATTTTATGCCTTTTATATTATATTTTATATACCTTTTATATTAAAATTTTATTTTTCTCTTAGCGTACCGTCTTTTTTATATTGATATCATTTTCTACAGTTTACATATATCGATCGTTTTTTTTTCTTATATATATATATATATATATATATATATATATCTAACTGTTCTTTCTTTTTCTTTTTTTAGTAAAAAAATATTTTGATAATCAATTTCAACTCGTTAATTGGTTGTCATAAATGCACTGACATGAAAGATGAGGCTAAATCACTCTACGCATTGGTACTGGTGTGGGGATAGTTATCACTTATCGGTTATCGTGACTAACAGTTTATAGGAGACCGTTCGAATTGATCTTATCAGTCTCTATGAACAACAATCTATAGAAGATCGTTTAGGCTTGTCTTTCCTCTCCCTCGATCAATCTTCATGGATAATAGTCCATAGGAGATCATTCAAATTTGTCACCCTTTGGACAAAATGTCAAAAGAAAGACGTTACCAATCGTTACGAATGATTTTTTCCATGATTAGAAATAAAATTCGACCCTCCATGCTAACCCACGGTTGGATCTCTCTCCAAATAACTCATTTACATTATATGCTATTTAAAAACTCACTTGAGCATTCGAGCAATTGGGTCAGGAAATTATCTCCCACCAATATTGACATTTATGTAAGAAACTACTGAAGAATCGGTTCTGGCACTCAATAATTCCCTCGGAAGATTATCTCGGAGTTATTTTGAATACCTTAGTGTCCCATCAACCGACTCGTAGGACTACTACATGAATTCCTATGATGTCCTTATGCTTTCGGGTCTAGACCAAACCAAGGTGACTCATAATCAACGATGCTCTTCTCACGGTAGATCTCGTGTCCTCCCCATCCAATAACTTTTTTTCGTCTATCACTGTCTATCCATTTATATAATTCTATAATATTATGGTTTGTAAATTTTTATATTATTTTTGATATTTTATATTTTAAAAATATTATATACGTATAATTTTGAATTGTAGGCTCCCACCAATTGAATTTCAATTATGCTTACGATATATAATTAAAATATTTCTAATGATACATAAGATTTTAAAGTGTTTTATACATTTTTACATAATATTAATCAAGGATACAGTTAAACCAGTGAGCCTATCAATCAGATCAGCGATCGACGATCCGTGACTCGATCTGATTGCTTTCGTCACATCGTCATTGTTACCACAGCAATGTTGGGCTCACCCAGCATCCATCCAAAACTGCGGGTCCCACAGAGCTTTGCTCGCTGATTCGTGGGGCGGCTAAAAAAGCATCCGCACCCTTGTTATATATTGGCGACGCCCACTTGTTGTCACTGTGCGGTCTCTTCCTTCCTCCCATCACTCGACTCGATTGTGATCCGCGGCCGAAAGGTCTCTTCTTCCCCCTGGAAGATGGCTCTGGCCACCGCTTTCCTCTCCTCCCACTCCCTCTCCGCTACCGCTCTTCGCCAATCTAGGGTTCTCGCGGTCGGTTTCCTCCACCCTCGCTTCATTCGCCACGAGACCGCCCGGTTCTCGCCGCTTTTCCATGGATCCTTCGTCTCCGTCGGCGGATTCCTCGGGACGATGCGCGGGTGAGCTCCGATTCGCTGCTATTGATTTTTGTTCTCCCACCGGTAGGTTGTTCTTGGGGCTGTCAGGATCGTGCTTCTTGTCGTTTCTGGTTTGATTTAGGATTCGTCTGATTTCGCGAGCATAATCTCTGGTGTGAAATGGTCACGGTGATTCTTGATGCGGACTATTATGATCCCTTTGTTAGTCTACCATGTACAAGTGTATGGTGTCTCTAGATGTTTGTTTTTTTGGTTTCTCATAGGAGGTTTAATCTGGGTGAGTTACTGAATTGTTGATAGATATTGTGTTGTTACTGATTGGTCAACTGATAGAATAATTCGGTTGCTTTGAATTGTTGGGATGCTTGATTTTTGTTGTTCGTTAGATGATTTGAGTCAATTCCTCGGTTCAGGTTTCGTTTGCTAGTTCCGTATTCTTGTAAAAATGTTTTATGAGACGACTGATTGATGCCTTGTCGTTTCTGGTTCGATTTAGGTGTCTTCTGATTTCTCGCGCATTATCTGTGGATTGAAATAATTGCAGTGGTTCTTGATGCGGATTTTTCTTGAATATTCTGATTCCTTTGTCATTATACCATGTAGAATTTAATTTTATCTCCAGATGTTTGTTTTTGTTATAATCTGGTCGAGTCACTGAATTGTTGATAGAGATTGTGTTGTCACTGGTTGGTCAGCTGGTAGAATTATTGGATTGCTCTAACTTGTTGGAATGCTTGATTTGATGTTGTTTCTGAGATGGTTCGAGTCAATTCCTTGATTCCGGTTTCATTTGCTAGTTCTGGTATTCTTGTAATAATGTTTTCTGAAACAACTAATTGAGGCCTTCGGTACTCAACAAGTTAATTTTCTTCCTATATATTTATTAATGCAAACTGATCCCATGGTCAGTCATCACTTTTGATGAGAAGAGTATAATAACAATAACAAAACCGTAAGTCGTAGTTGAGGACATTAATAATGTGGCCCAACAAGTTTGGTAAGTCCCAACTTTTGACGAGAAGATTGCACATTAATAATGTGATAATGATTTTCTTTTTTATTTCCTGCTATCGTGAACGAAATCTGGAAGGCGGGAGCTCTGTGGCATGAAATGGTACTAAAGTCAATGTGCTTTATAGTTTAATGCCTTAAAAGTAAAGGTGTATGGGATCAGAACACTTCAACCAGTATTGGAAGTAGAGCCTTTAAATGCCAATATGGACTCTACTAGTTTCAGTTTTTTTGTTTACTTTATGTTATTGTAAATATGATAAATATACCTCCTGAGGTTTAATATATTTTTTGTTATTTCTCCATTGAGAGCTTGTATAAATTGGAAAGATAATTTTTAAGTGACATATTCTCTCGAATCACACTTTATATAAATGTTGTTCTCTTCCTTTATTATTTTTAGAGGGTTTACAGAGGGATTTGGGGGCCAGGGGGTGCAACACAATTTTCATTTTCCTTGTTTATGCTTCGTTCTCTACTCTGAGCATTTCGGTTAAGGTACATATCCAATTACTGGCATCTGACGATCTCAAAGACCATCTATTTTAACTTTATGATGTAGGAATTGCCCTCAGACTTCTATCAATTCAGCTGATATGCTGGGATCTTCGTCAAGGGTATGTCATAAAATCTTCCTGTGTACTCCAGTTATTTTTTTATAAATATGCCCTCACTATGAGGAGCTGAAGAGTTGTATTAGCAAATAATCTTGTACCAACTGTAAGGGACAATGTGTTATTTAATTGTTATTTCAAAATTCGTTTACTATAGGTAAGGTATAACTTCAACTGATTAAACTGAGATTTTACTTATATCTGAAAGTAAACACAAAATCCAAGGTGGTGTAATGCTAGACAACTTAGATGACTTATAGCCCAACATATTTGGTACAATTTGTTAGATTGATTTGTCATGATTCTACTTGTATTTAGAGCAGTGCTTGTTCTTGTATCCCCTGAAATTTGAAATGATTTTGTTCGGAAACATGCATTAGTTGATTGATAAAAGAATTTATTGTAGATGACTTCTGGATGCTCTTTTTAAGTATTTAATTAGACTCTGAGTGGTTCAAATCTTGTACAGATGATATTCGTATTGAACTTTGATGTCTTTCTACGATCTCATATGAAGTGTTTTCTTGTTCTATGTGTAAGGCATTTGACAGCAGTAGGTCTTGCCTGTTCTTTATTGTCTAAACTTATAATCTGTTTTTAATAACTGTTTTTTAAGTATTTCTTACTTTTGCTCTTCTGATATGATTACGATCCACGACAGATGTCTGATCAAGAATCAGTGCCAATGCCAATAGTTTTGATAGATCAAGATTCAGATTCCGATGCAACAATCGTGCAACTTAGTTTTGGTGACCGTTTGGGAGCACTAGTGGACACGGTAAAGTCCTTTATCCTATTACCATATTCTAAAGGAATTTTACAAAGATTGGTATATATCTGCTTGAAAATGGTTTAACAAGTTATATTCTCAGAGTATTTTCTGGCTACATGTAGAGAATGCTTTTATGGATTACTAAATAAATTAACATCACTCAAGGTTTTCAAATTTTGGTACCAGACCCATGCTGGTTGATGGTGTGATTAAAACAAGTCTGATCTGTGCCAATGCACCATCAAATGGTACATTGGTATGCACCTGTGGCACTGTGAAAGGCTAGTTTTGGTCAGTTGAAACCTTAAAGAAACCTATTTTAAGGGTTGTAAGAGAGAGGGGAAAGGTGAGAGAGAGCTAAACAACCCGTTTTA